TAATGAAATTTCATCCTTAAAACCACACGAAACCAATTGCAAGAATTCCTTTCTTTTCTTCTCCTATTCGCTTCATTAATCAAAATCTTAAATCACGAAGATACATTTCAAAATCATTTATCATCATTTATATATTTTTTATTTTACCCAAAGGGTAATTGAGAGAAGCGCTACAATTTAAATATTATTTTCAAATCTTTAACTTCTTTTCATAGCGGATATGTATTCGACATCAATAATTTGTCTTCTTTTATTATGTTAATGCTTTACTTTTTCCGCTGAGCTGAGACATTAAGACCAAAAAGTTCCGATAGCTGAATAAGCTCTATCTTTTATTTTTGTGGGGCATCGTGAAGGACCGTTGTTATGCGAACAATCCATTAACGATTTAGGCTGTGGCTTATATCCAGAAACCTACACCAGGAAAATTGGATAACTGGGTAAGTTAGTCAAGTTACTGTGGGTCATTGTTTTAAATAATGAAATCGTAAATTGTATATTGACACTTCTAATTCAATTGTTCAATATTTATCAATTTGAAGTCATTTCGCTTTAATTTAGACATAACTTGTTATCATTAATAAATAATTATTTTCATTTTTAAACAAACTTTGCCTAAACACATTAAGCGCTGACCATTGTGAAAATGTATATTTCGAAGCCTTTCCTGGTTCTGGTTTCATTTGCAGCTTTTTTATTTGTATATTTTCATTGCACTTATTCTCTCATATTAACATAATATTTATACAAATTATACATGTCTTGTATTCCCGGAAGTCACATAGTCACTGAAATCAATTTTATCGGAACGAACGCTATATTTTGCATTTGTTTTTTATGAGCAAAAATGTTTTCTAGCACATCGTCGCTACACTTTATATCTTACCTTTTGAGAAACCTAACGTTTGTATACTTTTTTGTGTCCTGATGCCTGGATGCCAAATATAATACGCCACTCAGGAAGCCACTATCTCATGGCTCCCCACCCATTAGACCTCGAGAGCTCCCCTAGGATACGCTTGCGAGCAACTCATTTATCGTGCGCGTGCCAATGGCCTCCAATACTCGTACAACATCAATACACATCAAGCCAAACATTTGACGCCTTTTAGGCTGACTACTCGTCATGAAAACGGGCTGCCAGCCTTAGCCGCAGTCCTGGACATTTTCGGTTGGGCAGGAGGAGAGAGGGGATCCTCGCAAACATCCCTCACGCAGTCAGTTGCTAAAAGCACATAAAAAATAGTCCCCCAATGCTTCCCTTTTTGACTTGCTAGTCAACCAATTTGCGATAAAAATAAAACATATTGCTCAATAGACGACAACAGAGCCTGCCAGCTTGCTTGCCCGCCCTCTCTCCGCCATGCCACACATGTCGTATACGCGATGCTTGCAAAAAACTTTCAAGACGCAAAACTAAAACTGCCGTTGCAGTTGTCACGTGCCATATATATGTACACACTACATATACATAAATGGGCATACATATATGTACATACCTAAACATTTCTGTCTGCTTGTTTTCTTATTTTGGCTTTTTATATGCGACAAGAAGTAAGCAAAACTTTGACATGTCAATGTTTGTACGAATGGAGGTATACTCGTATGTATATATGCCCCCGGTGAATTGATTGCTAAAAGTTTTGTTGCATTAAAATTTATACAAAACTCAAATGCAACAGCAGCTGCTGGAAAATCTTCAAGTTCTTGCTTAGGCTGCAGTTGCCGTTTCTACGCCAACTTTCAAAGGGATTACATTTCATTTATCGATTGAATTTGCAGAATACACACAGAAAAAGGAATTCAAATATCTTAGTAATTGACATGATTTAATTTATGCTTTTAAAAGCATAATTGAACAAGTAAATTCTTGGAAAGCAATAAAAACTAGTTAGCTCGTATGACATATATTTCTAATTTTTTTTTAATTTTCTGGTTCTTTTAATAATATTTCATCTTTTTCATAAATTATTTTGCTTCTAATGGCATCATTTTTTTGTTACGGCTAAATAGGAATTCGCATATCAATAATCTTTTAAGAAGAATTTTTGGTTTTTAAGTTTCAAGCGATTTATTTAAATCCGAAAAAAAGGGACAACAAAATGAAAAATCAACAAGTAACAAATACTTTTGAAATGTCCACAACTACTATATGCAATAATTTTTGCTAATGCCAATAGAAGCCGGACAATATCAAAGGCGTATAGTCGCTCTGTGTATATGGAAAGCCGATTTCAATTTAAAGGCGATTTCATCGAAATTACAAAATAATTTTTGGAGTGTGCGCAAACTGTCATTCCAGCAGTCAGACAAACAGACAGACAGGCAGGCAGAGAGACAGACAGCCAGCTAGGTAGACAGGCAACAACAACTTTTTACCTTAATTTTGTGCATTTGCTTGCCCGTTTTTCGCTCTTTACAGCGACTTTATCAATTTTTGCGTTAGAATGGCAATTGATGCACAAATCAAATAATTCAATAAGCTTGTTACACAATCCTGCTGCTGCTGCTGTTGTTGTCGTTGTTGTCGTTGTTGTTGTTATCCTAATGCGAAAATAAAGCAGAAAATTGTGTGCACATTTTGCTAAGGAAATGATGCGCAATATAAGCAAAATGGCAGAGGGAATAAACATTTTTGTAAAATGTGCGTATGCTGAAAAGGATGCGGATGTGGATGCGGAAAATGATACGGAAAATGATGCAGATAGAGATACTTACAATCACAGCTACATATGTACATATACACGTAGTTTAACAAGCATTATAAAGCGGCAATACAACAGCTTGCTTTTCACATGCATTTCCCACTTATTCACAACTTAGGTTGCTGAGCTTTTTACGCAGCTGTTAGATATTCAAGTCAGTCTCTGTCTCTGTTTCATCTTTAGATGATTTTATTTGCAGTTACCTCGCATAAAGCCCTCTTCGCATTATTTGCTTGGCTCGTCCCTTATAAATTTATAGCCAACTGGCTTTGGCAAACTATCATCCATATATATGTATATAAATTATAACTTATGGCACAGCTTGAAACTAATGCTGAGTTATATTGGAAAGCAGTTACAGCGGTCGCATAACTTTTCACAACTATATATGTATGTATGTATCCTTGCATATGGGCCCACATAATCACTCAAAAGCATTAAACATGATAAATGAGTCGCACAATCTTTACCCAACAAGTGACCAACCGGCTGGCTCTGCTCTTCCGCTGCAGCATCGACAGATACTCTTCTACGTGCCATGCACCATAAATTTTGTTTTGTAGGTGGCACTTGCTATGCATATTTATTGGATTTTAAGCCCATTCGGCTGGTAAGTTCTTTTCCTTGTTTTAGGTACAAATTTTCATTAAATGCGAAAGTTTTTAATCGCTAGATTATCATTAAGAAATGTTATACTTACAATGCAAGCTGAGTTCCACAGTAAACAGGTTAGGGAATAGGAGGGGTAGAGAGCAAAAATTAAGTTTGTTTTTAAACTTAATGACCCTTTTTCCAGAACTTTTCAATTAATGAATAGTCGAAGTAGAGCACACGAGTGGTATACGCGATTCAAAAGCGATCTTGATGACTGGAATTTGGACCAACTTGTTGAGCAGCCAGAGCTCGTGAGTATTGCAGATTCAGAAAAATACTTGAATTAATTCATAATATGCCAAAAATATTCGGTAAAATTTATTAAATTGGAAATAAGTATCTTAAAATCAACGATCTATCCCACTTTAATCAAACAATGGGGTCTGATCTTCACAAGTTGAATGACAACCAAAAATTTGGCTATCGATCGACATTTGTAACTAATTTGTTGACAACAAAAAAATTGCCTTGCAACCATCGATCATTTTTCTGCGAACTTGGCAATATGGGTTCGAACAATAAACAATGTCAGCATCAAACCCATACTTCTATATGGCTTCGAATCCTGGAAGGTAACGTCGAATATGCAACATAGCTGGCCAATTGGCAACGTATCGAAGCCAGTACAGCTTTTTCTTAGGCTTTCTTATCTTTTAAGTTTAAGTTATAATGTTATACAAGTATTATGTCATATCTTCATTTTAATTTTTTTATAATATATATAAAATGTTAAAATATATTTTCATAATTATAATGGAATGTATCGACAGAGCTATTTTTGATTTACTAAATTATAAATAAATAAATTAATAAATGTGTTAACAACTTTGTTAGCAAGTATATGTTTTGGCCCGACAATTATCCAAAAAAGATCTGCTAAGAATAACTTCAAGCGAAGTCATCCAGAATGATAATAAATAAAGGAAATAGAGATGAATTGGTCATACAAGTATGGTGAGGAGGATGACTCAAACATATGATAAATGGATTTTTAGTATAATCCAGGGGTAGACCAAAAAATACATAATACAAGTAATGGCACATTCGTAGAATGGCTCGAGATTGAAAACAATGGGTGAACACAGTTTCAGCTCTACGATCTGCTTAGGAAGATATTCATTATAATTGCTAATTGCTTAAAGAAATTGTTTTAAAATTAATTTCATAGTCAAGCCATTGATACGAATATTTATTTTAAAAACTTTCCACTACGCTCTCGCCTCTGTCTCATTAATGTCAGCACTAAGCTAAGAGAACAATGAGAAATGAGCAGAAAACAGTTAAGTAAAAGATTTACCCTTCTTCGGATTGGAGATTTCTTACTATACAATTTTTTGTCCCTATACTACTAGGGAACATCTCGATTGAAGTGTTTTTTCATGATCTCTTAAATGTAAGAACAGTTTGTGTTTTGTGTATTTGTTTCCGAAATATTATTAAGAACCAATGGCAGATAGGGAAAAAGTATTAAGAATGTATTTATGTCAACTAACTTTTACAGTTATATAATAAGTAAAGCTCTCTCCAAGCCCTTAAAATCGAACAGGCCAAGCTTTTAGAACACATCCAAACTTAAAGCCATTTGGAAAGATTTCTCATTAATTTTCATTATCAAATACTGCTCTCGAATCATTTAATTAATTAATTTCATACTTCTTTTTTATTTCATTTTATTTTTTTCTTCTGATTGATGTTCAAAGCTTATTTATATTTACATTTGCATTTGTAATTTGATTGTGTGATCTTATTTGTAATTTCGTTTGCCGTTTTTAAATATACATGTAGATGTGCATATAGACTAATACTCGCGCATTGCTTAAATTAATCAAAATTCATGAGAAACTGCTCTCAATTGTTGTCGCTGTTGTTGTTGTTGCTGCTGTTGTTGTTGTTGCTGATTATTGCGATTATTGGGTATTAGTTCAGTAACCTTTAGAAGCAGCACTTGCGGTTGTTGTTGGCGCCGCTAATCACCTTGAAATGCTGCATATCAGAGCGACGATGACGATTGGCTTTCGGATCGCGCACCTTGTTAGTACGACTAAGAGCACTACGGCACAATTGCTGATGCTGATCCTTTTTGTTGCTCTGTAATGATGGTAAAGGAGTGTTTTATTAATTTCATAATATATTTATTTAATATATAGTAGATATTGTTGGATCGCTAGACTCTGATCTATGTCTGAGTTAAATTTTGTAACAGTATTTTTAAAACTTAGAAATATATATGAAGTTTTTATAGATGTCCGCTGTTTTGTTTTTAATAAAGTTAACTGTTCAAAATTGTAGTTGGAAATGCAAAGAAATATATTTGGAAACGATTTGCTATTGATTTGCTATTGATTTTGTTTTCATTAATTGGCCAAAACTGCATCAACAATGCTACAAAATTCTTCCTTTTACAGTAATCGATGAACAAGTAATAAGTACACACAAGAATTTCTAATTTCTACTCAGCATCGATGCTAGATTTAAGAAATACTCATTAATAAATATCGATACCTACCTTCTGGCTTTGACGAGCCAGAACTTGTTGCTTGAGCTCGGCCGCCGCCTGGCGATCATGGCGGGCGCTTTGATTGCGTCTCTCCGCCAAAATCGGGGCAGCTGGCACGAGCTGTGTCTGTGTCGGCTCCTCTTGTTGAATGAACTGCGATGCCTGCAGTTCCCTGAGATCAAGACTTGCACTATTATCGATACCTGCCTGGCTGGACCTAATACTATGATAGACGGACATGCTGCAATTACAAGAGAATCGAATTATAGTTGTATGTTTGCAATTTTTGCGCAGATAGCACAGGCGCTGGCACATCAATAATGGCGCAAAAGTCACCAACCTTGGATGCTCAATCAATAGATTCTCAAATGGTGATGCTTCCATATTGATTGGCCCAATCGAGGTGAAGCATGGTGGCGGTGTTACGTACCAGGACTCCTCCATCACTAAAGCACCAACAGCCGGAACATCCTGGCCGTTGGCATCGTCCTCACATGGTGCGGCTGCGACCGCCAGCAGGGGCGCGGGTGCAAAGAGGGACTGAGTCACGTCATTCTCCGCTGAGCGCTGAGGACCAGTGCGGGCGGGGCCCAGAGCGGGGCCGCTTAGCGGGAGAGTAGAACGGATGCGCTGCAAATAGTTGCGCTGTTGTTGTGGCCTCGGTCCCGAATAGAGGCTATGCGAAGCTTTGTGGTGCAGGCGGCGGGCAATGGGGGCGGCTAAGGCGGCGGTTGGCTTGGTCGGAGCCTCGACCACAGTGAGTTCTTCTTCGGTTTCGTTGCGTGGCAACAATGCATTTTCCTTCTCTGCAGCGCAGTGAGAACTGTTAGCTAACTGACCACACAACTGCGGAAATGCCAATACTCACCACCCTCCTGGTCCTCCTCGTTGTCTATAATGCACCAATCGTCGTCAATGTCCTCGTCCGCACAATTGGTTGGCCGTTTCGATTGCTTCGATTGCTGCTTCGGCTGCTTGCCGCGCCGACTCTTCTTGCCCGGCTTGGAGTTCACCTGCCCTGAGCCCCGGGTGCTCGCCACGGAAGGCGTCAAGGACGTCACCTCGATTACATCGTCGCCTGCTTGAATGGTGCACTCCTTAATGCCGTTGGCCTTGGGTTCAGGGTCAGCCTCGCTACTCGTTGATTCCGATTTCGGTTGCGATCCAAATAGATAGGTTGCAAGGCTGTTCAGCATTATATTAATTTCTTGCTCTCGCTCCGGCGCTAAAAGACGCTCTATAATCGGTCGATGTTCAGTGCTCGGTGGGTGCTTTGTACGAGGTTTACTTATTGAATTGAGAACGCGATACGCTTCAGTACTTAGGCTATAGAGATATTGCTAATGGGATTCTAGCTGAACGCCGATCAGTCTTCGTTTCTTTTGGATTATAATTGCGTGCCTTAATGAAGTATAAGCTGTAACGAAAACGATGTAAATAAAGCGTATTTAAATATTTTTATGTATTTTCCAAGGTTAACTTTGATCGACAAAAGACTAAGTGAGGAAACAAAATAAACACAAATAGTTGCAATGCACTCACATACTCGCATATATTGTAAATTAAATTTTTTCCCTTTTTTATTTATTTCCTCAAATTAATAATTGCTTCTTAAATACTGGTAAAAAGTTTTAACCTGATTCAACTTTATTCCACAAATTTTATTCCATGGAAAAAAAAATGTGTTTATTAAAAATTTTTTCTATTTCTTAAATAAAGGTGACAGTTACAGATTTTTGGAGCTGGAACCCATTTGTTATTTGGATTTGTGAAATATAGCGATGTGCTAGCTAGGGCGATTGCATTTTTAAAAATAATTTCCTACATAAAGCTATATTAATTTTAAAATATTCTATTATTGATTGTCTAACATTGTTTACTGAAATTACAGTTGTTTACATTAAATTTAAAATATTTTATTATTGATTGTCTAACATTGTTTACATTAAATTTAAAATATTTTATTATTGATTGTCTAACATTGTTTACTAAATTATCTACCCGTATCTATATCGACCATAGATTGGCACCCCATTTGAGAATGAATTGACAAATTTGGCCTTATACGTTTCACATTTTTCTTTATTTCAATAATTGAAGATTCTTTCTTCCTTCTCATTAAATATATTTGGAAATTTGATCAATAGCGATGGGATGGGACTTATTCTGGCTAAATTCCTCGTATGGAACTCTACTCTGTAAAACAGCCCGACCCTTTTCTATTAACATGGTCTGCAAATCGGTCTTCAATCTTGGCGACCTCCTTCTTAAAAGATTTTAATCTAACGTAGAAGTCTTAAATAAAACTACAACGAACCGATTAATCAATTAATTCAATGAGTTTCAGGCAAGAAATCAGTAAATATTGTCTTAAAAGGCTATTCTAATTAGTCAACTGTCAATATAAAGTTATTGTTATTTGATTTTATTAAGAGATTTGTGAACAATTTTAAAATCCCAAACATTTTTAATAACATAATTCAGCATTCTCCTTTTTTAATTTTAATTAAAAACTGTACTATTTCTGTACATTAAATTCTCTCATCGCCCCACCGACTTCAATGAGGAAATTGGCTGAGTCAAACTAAATAAATAAACTGTCAAATCAATCGAGTATAAGTCAAATTCATGGACTCATTCAACTAGACTAAGCTCCTAGTTTAAGTTGTACTTATTTGTATTTTGATATCAGTTTAATTTACAGAGCATATATCAGAAAGAAATCCACAAATTCCTTCATGAAATGGGTTCCTGCTTTTTTGGGGGCATAAAGCAAATGTTTTTAAATGCAAAAATACAACCAATTCTTATTCTTTATTTCTACCAAAACGTTCCGTTCTAGCAAATAAAAATCTTCAAAAATGTACAACAGATTTGAACTAAAGAACTAAAATGCATTGCTCTTAAAAACATTTTTAAGAATTGTTATATGCGGCAATCAAGAGTTAAATAATTATAAAATATTATGATTTGAAAAACAAAAACATTCCATACAGCTACGAAATTTTTAAGCCACTTGGAATGTGTTTACATAAACGTTAAAATTGTTGTTTTTATTATGAAAGTAAATTCAATAAAAACAAAACGTGTCGAAACGTGTGACGTCGAACTTTTGAAATTCGCTGGCGAATTGGTAACAGGCCTCAGTGCTATAGGCTCCCACTATATTGCGCAATTTTCAAACTATATAGTATGTATATATAGTATGCCTGAACGGACATTGCTCCGTGCTGCTAAGTAGTCTTTATGAATATATACTACAAATATTTCTGTTGCACGTACAAAATTGTTAACGCGTGTATAAACAATGGGAACACTATCAGGCAGACATACATACTATAACGAATGTTGGCTTCGATTGAAGGGAATTACATCGCAATTAATGAATGCATTAATCATTTTGGAGTTCAAAGTCAATTTTTGCTGACTTCGCTGAGTACAAATGATGGCCAACAAACAAAGAAATTGGTTGGCCAGATATGGTTATAAGTATTTTTAAAAGGCCCACTTAAGATAGCGCACACTTTTCACTTTGTTCGGATGAAAATCACTTTCACATTAGAAACATTTTCGCGTCTTTGTTTGCTGGTAAATAAGTTTAACCTTGAATGTGCAAATGATGTAGATATTTGGCGTAGATTATACAATTATAGATATATGGTACCATATCCGCGTATACTCTCATATGCACAAGCAAACATTTACATACATATGTACCTATACTTATGTAGGTATGTATGTATGTATATAGAACGGCAGATGCATCCGAGCGCTCTAGATTGCTTGCATTAGACGAAACAAATGACACAGCTTATTTAATTATAGCGTACCTAGACACATACAAACATATGTATGTATGTAAATATGTGGTATATATATACATACATATGTATGTTGTTCCTTCTACTTAGGCATCAGCTGACCTTGATCAGTTGGTGGCTCTGTTACGTAAGGCTCCTTTGTTCATTAAATATACCTACACACCTACATACATGTACTATATGTGTATATAATTGCCTTGCACAGACTATAAATGATTTTTATGATATATCTTAATTGTTTAAGCGACTCAATGGCATCTGCATCGGAGTGGGAGTGGGAATATATGGCGACTGCTTAGAATTTGCATTGCGAAATAAAAAATACAAAAAGATATTTAATTAACTTTTTTATATTCCAATCAAGTCTATATGGCATTATTATGTGTTTTATGATTTCGTCATTCATTTGCGCATTATTATCAGTTCGAACATGGCGATAAGCTCTCCACTATTTCACAGCTTTTGCAAATCATGTCAGTGTGTTAGACCGTCTGTCTAGACAAACAAAAAACGTCGATAGCTCGACTTGAACTAATTTGAACTTTGGAAAGTGTTAAATAGTTTTGTTGTTATTGCTCTTGAATGCCCTAAATGGATGATAAACGAGCTGAAGCTTGTCCACAGCACATAACACCAAGCCATGTACATACATACACACATACGTACATATACTTATATATATGTACTCATATGTATATACATACATATGCATATATAGTATATGCCAATGTTAGATAAAATTAATAATTTGCGCTCACCTTTGTTTGGAACGAATAAATGAAAGCGTAACAGATGAGACACAAGCGTTAAAGTTAAATAATATATAAAATTATTTTAATATTTATATACTATGTATATACTATACACAACAATACAACAACCAAACGACCACCACTGAGACGCAGATACTGCCAAGTCGACACTCTCTAGTCAACTGAATTCGTCGATCGGAGTAACAAACGATCGAACGGAAGAGCATTTGAATTTCAAAACACAACCAAAAGCGTACAAAAGAACAAAAGCGAAAGCTTAGCAGCAACATTTGTTTGTGTTTGTGTAGAGAATACTATACAAACATACATAAATACATACATACATAGAAGTATGTACATATTTGTATTCATCTGTAGTATTTCCCTGCAAAGCTACAGTTGTGCAAAAGACACTTTGATGCCCAAAACTTAGGGACCCCACTAAAGTTTTTGCACAGCTTTTTCAACACAATTTCACAACACTTTGAATTTTGTCATATTACATCTATATATGCAATTTATTTATACATACATGTATGTACATACATACGTTTTTATACCACAGTCAATTAATTGAATTTTGAATTTTGTTTTGAAATTGGATTTGGATTTGAACACAACTGTCTGCCGCTTGCGATGCGTTGGCTTTGAAATATTTAAGTTGAATATATTAAGTATGGCGTTTCAACTACAATTAAGCCAAAACATGCTCTCGCATAAAGAATACGTGAACGAGGAGAGAGTGAGAGAGTGGGAGAGAGCGCGCATATACACACATATATGTACGTTTGTATATATGTATGTATGTATGTTCGCGTACCCATATGCTAGCATACATATCTAATCGCTGGTGTTTATTAAAACGCAAAAAGCGAAACAAAAAACGAGCACAGAACAATAACAACAGCAACAATTCCCAAAAGAAGTGGGCGAAAGACAGCTGTAAACAAAAGGCACATACAGTGCGCGCTCGATAAACACAACCGTAACATGGTCGAAGCATAAGACTTGGCTGGGTTTTTTCTCTGAAAGATATAGTTTTATATAGCATTTATTTATTTATTTTTTTTATGCACTTTAAATTTCATTCATTTAATTAATTTAATAAAGTATTTAATTATATATATTATATATTGTCATTTAACTCTCCAAATATTTTATAATTTGGAATGACAAAATGGAGCCAACATAAGGCAAAAGCACTAATAATATAAAAGTACATAATCATAAAAAAATTGTTATTATTATTAATATTTTTTTTAATATACTGGTATATTTAAAACTTAAATAAAACTTATAGTTAAATACAAATACAACTTAAGCATCCAATTTAACATTTGCTGGCCAAAAACGATATTAAATAATTTTGTGAAAGATATATTTCACATAGCTTCAAATAAAAAGACACTGAATTTTTACTAAAGCACTGTTTTATAGATTATTATTAAATTTGAAGATAATTTAAGAGGGATGACTGTGCACAGCAGGTCCACCCGGTACCACTTTCTTAGACTTTAGAGAGAATAATAGCTTGTAATATATTATTATTATATTTAATAAATAAAATATCTGAATCGTGTACAGGAAAATTGATTGATTTCATATTTTAAAAACTAAGTAAATATTTAACTGATTCATCTCATAGAGATTATACAGTATATTTAAAATAACAAAAAAAAATTAGCTTAGACTCAACTCTTGATTTCTAAGAAAAAAGTACCTAACTAATTTTACAACAAAGAAAGAGTATTTTCGTATCTCCCAATTAAATCTAAAATAATATTTTATATAACCTTAAATTATAATAATTTTAGTTTTAGTTTTAGATTTTTTGGATTTTTTTAAGACAATTAAACAAGAAAAAGGCGATAAGTTCTATATAAAGCTTTTAAATTATTTTCAAAGATTAAACTTAAAAGTAGATATTATTAGTCATTTTTAAATTTAAATCAGCGATTAAGTACTTAAATGTACTTGCTGGAGTATTTGATATAATGGATTTTGGAAACATGTTTATGTAATTTTTGTTTTTTGTGGCAGAAAAAAGTAAATGTAGACGTCATAACGAATGTTCCTGTAGTAAACTATATACATATGTTGATATCCAGTACATTAAACAATAAATACTTAAAAACTGTAATCATAATAAGTAATAATTCAAATTTAACTTAAAGCTATGTTTATTCCCTTTAAGTATATTTCCACATATATGTATTACTACAAGTATATCTATAACTATTGTTGTGTGTATCAATCCATTTGAGTTCTTTGTATTGACAGCTCACTGTTGCATATGGTTGGCGAGCGAGCAAGCAGCTGAGCACGCAGCTGGCACTGCGCTCGGCTTTATGCGCAGCGGGTAGTGGGTTGTGGGGCGATTGACGATCATCATGAAAATTCGTGATTTTTGTTTACTAACAAAAGCTAGTGAGCGACGCTTTTGGCGTTTGGCTTTGCTTTTGCTCTCTCATTCTTTTATTTTGTTGCACTCTCTGGGCAAGCAACTACTTATGTACATATGTATGTACATACTAGATGTATGTACATGGCGGGCATACACACTGACACACTTTTTGGTTTGTTGTTTGTTTTGTGTATCTGGCAGATACTTTATATAATTGGCTGCCTCTTGCTTGCTGATGTTTACATAGAAAACTTTTAGTGGCACACACTTTGTGCTTTGTGGGAGAAAGACGAAGAAAAGAAAATTCTCTCATTTAAGTTCGCAGCTGATTTTCCACTCACCGCCCAAAGTTCAATTTAGCTCATTTTAAAAATAAATCGATAAAAAAAAAACAACCTCGCAGCCAAGTTCAAGGCTTTTGAAATCAAATTCACCTTTTCTTTTCATATTTTCAGGTAATGCCAACATAGATAGGCACAATAATGTGTGTCTGGGCATAGCTATCCATTTTATTCTATTATCTATACATATTTTTATTTACATATGCATGTTTGCTTATATAGAAGCGTATCTACATATGTATTGTACATACGTGGCCCACACGCGCACACTGCTGTTTACAAACAAAAATTTCTTTTGGGTTTGCGTAAACAAGCATAAAAAATGAATTGTCGTCATTGCATAAAGTGGAAAGGAAAAAAACGAAATAAAATAAACAAAACAGCAAACAAGATAAAGCGCTATCTACTATAACCCATTGAACATAAATTACACTTTATGGGATTTTTGGCCGATCATTGCTATTAAAATCGGCTTACTATGGTTAATGATTTTTATACCCCTTATGTGAAGGGTGAAGGGTAGTATACCCTATACTACAAAGATTTACTATGTAGCAGACAGCAGAAGCCATGGCACGACATAGATACATTTATAAGTATGTGATCAGCATAGCTAGACTAGAATTTATAGTATATACTTGTAGAAATATTCGCCTGTGCGTTCGCATGAGCGACGAGAACGTTTCAAGCTTAATAACTAGCTAACTTGGTATATAGAGTTATATTATTCATATGCAGAGCTAGCCCCATTATTTTATGAAACTGTCATAGGACTGATCGGTGGAAAGATCACTCTGAATAACATACGTTTTTGGTTAGTTAATATTTAACCGCAGCTGGTATTTACGTGTTTTTCATAGCCCCTTCTAATGTTCTATAGTTTTATCAAAACGGATGCACTAGGAATAGAATAGAAGAGGAACTTGCAGTTATGAAATCTCTATTATTACTAGAAACATTTCTGTTTATTTCAACATCATAACCAATTAATGTATGTATTTAGGAGTTGTTTGTAGTATGTAATTATTTTAATAAGTTATATCAAAATTGGTGAGCTCTATCAATCTCGTATATGTTGCTGATTTAGGAAAGATATGATTCACAACAGAGCCGATTTTAGTTGAATGACTGCAGCAGGAAAAAATCTCCTAGGATATTCAACAGTGTTTGTTTTTTATTCTGTAGATTTACGTATATTCTTAAATAAAACCCGTTCCAGTTTTCAAATATCAATATAAAGATTCAGAATATTAAATGCGTATTACCTTTTTTCTTGTAGAAAAAAATATCAATCAATCAATATTATCAGCTCAGTTTTTTGGTAACAATAGAGTATAACAATTAATAGCTTAAAAGAAATGCCACAAATACAATTTGGACAACGTTAAAGCCTATCTACAAACATTTTAGTTCAATATATACAGTTAAAGACAAAATTTTAAGTACATTTAAAAATCTACAGCCCGTATTTCATAGCAAAAGGATTAGCAGAATCGGTAGTCTTGAGTGCTCGTAAGTTTCCTTAGTGTTTTCACAGCGTTACTTTATAAATATTATGGCATATATTAGCCAGCTCCACAATCCAGTCTTGAAATTGTTCAAATTCTTGTTGAAGATGAATTTACTAAGTAAACTGAATATAAACTTTTATTGTACGCTTATATCGGCAGTTGATGTGCTCCTGAACTTCAGTACTATAACTCATACTCCCTATCAAATAGTCCAGATATACTTCATCGACACTAAGAAACACAAGATTTTCCGTCCCATTAAGTCAATCTGTTAAAGTTTTTTCATCTGCGATCAACTGCTCACATTTTATAATTTTATGAACAGTTTCCGAAAACTGCTTACCAATCAGCATAAGCTCTGGCATAGGACTTGTATTAAAACAACAGTTGCAATAAACCCATTTTAAACTGCGAACAATACCTGTGCCAGTCGACACACAATTTTCATTTAATATTCAGGTGATTCGTGAATAACACAATGGCCTCAGCTGTGATCCATATTGTCTACGAATCTATAAAATCCATTCCCCGTCCTACATTTCAACAGATTTTATTCGACTTGTAATAATGACTACAAGCAAAATCGTCTTGTTCGGTAAGTCTGTAATCATATACATACATGAGTTTATATTTTGAGTCTAAACTTTGATTGCTCTTAGCTTTCTGTTGCCTCTACTTTCTGGTCGTGCAAGCCCAACCGGAATCGAATCGAGATCGGGAGTTATGTGAGCGTCAGAATCGCATTTGTTTAGCAAATGAGGAGGGCACGGGCACCGCCGATGAAATCACGAATATCATTAACCATCGTTGTCGGCAAAGAAATCCCAGATGGCGTACGATCAGTCGATGCCAGCTTGCCAAAGCCACTTGTGAATGTAAGCCTTTGTAA